AATTGATAGCATAATCTCATGTACCAATAGAAATTTATCATGTCTAGTTGGGCCCAAGATTCTACACAGAATGATCTGAATTCAATTCCCATGCTGGAATAAATGAATTTATGCTTTTTTAATGAACCAAGTCAAACTTCAACACTGCTACATCACACTTGGTTTCCTTTTAGTTAGTGATTTTACTGACTTCATTATATTGACCTCAAAATTGTGATGAACCCATTTGCTTCAGCCAAACCTAATCGCACACTAACTACAACTGCTGCATGATATTAATAGTACACTGTACAAATAGTAATTTAAGCCTATTAATAATAGACTAGTAGTAATAGTCTATTAATAATCATAAATTAATTTGGGGTCAGTAATTTTGTAAATGTTTGTGTGTCTGATGCTCACTGCATTTTTTTTTTTTAAATACAGTAAAAACGGTAACACACACACACACACACACACACACACACACACACACAAACAGTACACAATGTATAACTACAATATATATATATTTTTTTATATATTTTAAAATGCAATTTATTTCTGTGATGGCAAAGATGAATTTTTAGCAGCCATTACTCCAGTCTTCAGTGTCACAATACTTCAGAAATCATTCTAATAAGCTAGTTTGTTGCTTAAGAAACATTTCCTATTATTTTCACTGCTGAAAACAGTTGTGCTGCATAATATTTTTTGTGGAGACGGTGATAATTTTTTTTGTAACATTATTAAATTCTTTAAGACTTTTGATCAATTAAATGCTTTCTTGCTGAATAAAAGTATACATTTCTTGTATACAAAAAACCTGACTGACCCCAAACCTTGTATACCCCAAACTGAATATTTACTTTACACTTTACTTTACATTTATCATGAGAAAACAATGATCCACTGCATTTTCCCCATTCTATAGACTCTCAAAAATCAGTTTTAAATCACTAAAAAGCTGAATAAAGGGAAAAAAATCATGTTATGTCAGCAGGAATCTACAGAGTTTTCATATCTTTTTTCCTTTTTTAATGTCATGAAATAAGACAAACTCCTCAATTATTATTATTTTGTTGTTTGTATGTATTATGTATTCAATTCGAGACCCTACAGCTGAGAACCTACACTGTGACTTTCTCACTGTGAAGCACACAAACCGAGCACTATGTGTGCAAGCACTGCCAAAATAACTCCTTCCAAAACCAGCAGACAAAATTAAACTGAGTCAATTGGGTTAAAAACATAAGTAAAAGAGGGAGGGATGGAGAGTGAGAAGTAAAAAGAGGGGGATATACAGAGAAGATGAGTTTAGAATCAGGTGCTATTTAAAAAAGGTTGAGACAAAGAAATGGAGAAATGCTTTGTTGGCGCCACTTCTTGGAATTTATTTTGCCTGCAACAGATTCCAGCAGCTGTAGCCTGCTGTCGTGGAGTGTCCAAGCAAGATTCCCTGCTCCCTCTAATTTTCTGGTAGCCCAGGATCATTCTTCTAACTGGCAGTCTGCCAACTTAGTAGCACTCTCTGAAATGTAGTGAGCTGCCTACGTAGGTGCATTCCAACATGAGATATACCTCCTATATATATTTAAAATTAATTTAAATTGAATTATACTTTCATTTTTACTTTTAAGCAAAGATCCAAAAATTGATCAGAAATGACATTAAAGATTTCAAAAAAGTTGTGTTTCAAATAAATGTTGTTCTTTTGAAGTTTGTATTCAGAATCCTGAATAAAAATATATTACAGTTTCCACCAAAACATTTCAACATGAATAATAATAAATGTTTATTGAGCACCAAATCAGCATATTAGATTGATTTCTGAAGGACCATATGATACTGAACACTAATGTATAGTAATGGCTGCAGAAAATATAGCTTTGCAATCATAGGAGTGAATTACATTTTAAAATACATTCAAATAGAAAACAGTTATTTTAAATTATAATAGTTCACAATATTACAATAATACTGTTTTTACTGTATTTTATATAGTAGTAATAATAATATACAAGTATTTTTTACTTGTCATATATTTTTAATTATAATTTCATTTCATTTAAAGACTGTCACTGGTGCCCACTCGAAAAAATTTTCTGCATGATGCCCTACATTTTTGCCAATATTTGTGTTTACCCTGAATTACATTCTGTGGTTAACTTAGCAACATGCTAATGTCAAACTCCATTGAAATCAATTATGAGTCAAGTCTCTTCTGTACTTTGTTATGTGGCTGCCTGTATAAAGTGTCACTCACTTATGAGGTTCCATTTCAATTAGGATGCTGCTTAAGAAGTCTAGGTAGGCAGCTCACTAGGTTTTGCACCAGAATGTCTTTCTTCTTCCAACTTTTTCAGTTCGTTCACTCTAGCTTTGTTAACTTCGTCTCACCACTTTCTCTTGTTCTATAAAACTCTGGAATTTCTCAGTTTCATCATTCTTCACTTATCTTTGCCTTTCCTTTTTTCTTCTTTTCTCTATCTCTAGTTAGAAGGAGGGTGTTGATGTCAAAAACGAGGTAGAGGATTACTGTATATCTCAGGAACTTTCTCAAGGAGGGCATGCCTGTGCCTCACAGCAGCCAATAAGAAGGCAGTAAATATTATGACAAGAGTCCATGTCATGGGTAAATGTGCCAAGGCAGCAGTCAGCATACCACTATTAATCCTGATTTCCCAGCACTCAATACAAGAAACTTCAGAGAAAACAGAAACCGTTGCTTGGCTGCCACATCCCCCCTGCTCTGCGTTCTCCCAGAACCAGTTAACGGGTAGATGTGCCAGTTTGAAATAACAGCGAATTTGAGGCTGTGACATATAATACTGTATAAGTACTGCATAAAACTGATAGTTTTTTCTTTAGGCCTTTTCTTTTGGGACCAAACCTTTCCATGAACTCAACACAGGACACGCCACAGGTGAGGCTCAATAGACAAAACCACACGCAAACAAGTTTTCAACAGGCTATAGACTTTATCTGTACTTGGAGACATATCACTACTTCCTGCTGTTGAATTTTTGCAATCTTTGACATGCAAATGCATTACAAAGCCCAAATCCTCATCCTAACCACACATTACGAATACATTTTACTACTAGCTAGAAAAAATTCAGTTCATCTAGAGTGCTTACAGAAACAAAGAAAAGACACCCAGGCAAAGCAGCACTGTCTTTAACTCCTGATGCCCTACGTTCTGACCTACCAGGCCGAGCAGGATATTGAGACTTACTCGTGGTGTAAAACGATCCCTTAGCAGCACTCCAGGTTGACTGTGAATACAACAGCATTTATAAAAGCGAGATAAATTACTTTCACACAATTTGGGTGCGCTGCTAAGATTTCCGACACAAAAAGTGGCTGCATTCCTCGAGGGAAGCAGCTGGGGATTGTATTACCAGGCTTGTTGAAAGGGTGTAACACTAGCCATGGAGCCATGGGCCTCCAAAACTATGATGCACATAAATTTTTATTGTTTGTTCAGCATTGAAATCTCATTAGAACTCATAAATCAGTGGTCTGTGTTGGCTGGTGCCTTTCACGTAGAGGAGAGGAAAAAGGAAACGAAAGAAAGGCTGAAGTTCTGGACGTTCTGTGCTGGGCGGATCTGACCTGAGGCCATAGTTTGTAACATCCCAGTGTTTTGTTACACTAACAAAATCAAATTGAAAAGATCCAGTAGAGAGAATGTCTAATTTCTAAGAGAAACATACACTACACAATTTAATATCATTTTTATAGACCAAAACGGACATTTTTTGGCATTACTCAAAGCAAATTCCATGCAATACTCCAAGTTGCTACTGTTTCCCCCCCGCCAAAAGTCCAGAGACATGCTCTTTCCTTTTAATAACAAGCAACTTTACATAACATCATGCCGACATGTTTAGTTTAGCCAGAAGCCAAAGTAATATTCTCCACTCCTCTAGTACATCCATTCACCCCGTGTTATGCTCTACCATTCCAGTGATACACATACTGCAGCAAAGCAATCATTTAGAGCATGGATGTAAGAACCAAATGTTTATTTTATGACTGTCAAAGTTAACGTGTAAATGTGATAAATGATACAGTACATGCTTGAATATGTTAATACAATTATTCAATATGACATTTTAAAGGGGTCCTATTATGCTCTTTTACAAAGTCTTGATTTTGTTTAGGGGGTGTACTAGTACAGGCACTCATACTAGGTCGTTCGAAAAACACATTATTTTTCACATATTTTACATTATTACAACACCTCTCTGCCCCGTCTGGCATGAACGGCTCGAATAGTTGCTGAATCAAATTAAGGCCCGCCTTCTGAAATACGAAATGTGCTGTGATTGGTTAGCTGGGCCAGTGTGTGTTGTGATTGGCACCACTTGGCGCCTGGTCGGGAAATGTCATGCCCCTTACCATAGCCGCCTGCCAGCTTCAGTGTAAATATTGCGTCAATATCAAATCAATTTGAGAGCGATTTAAACCCGGATGATTGTAACCACTCTAAGTTTGTCTGCCTTGGGAAAGCTAGCGTGTCTCCGACATAGTGATAACACTCGTTGCCTTCTCTAGTGCAGCTCAACCAGGTCTCGTCCCATTCGTCGATATTTGTGATATCACAAATCCCGGAAAATATGCGTTGTAGTCGGAACGAGTTGTTCGTTGTAGTTTTGCATACGTTGTAGCACCCATATATCAGCACATGATGGAGAACTGACAAAAACAACTCCCACATATCAGGACTCAACAATAAGAATGGACCACTGGGCCACTGTGAGAGTTTCGGGGCAGTTAACAGAACTGTCACTGTCCTATTCTGTCAGTGCTACATATCTTAGATTTTCTGATCATATACATGCATTACATGCCTTGCAAAAAAAAAATAAAAATTATAAATGTGCAGTCACATTTACAGTTTTTGGTGAATTTTCAAGTTCGAAATAGAGTCATTTCAATAAGAATCCACGCAGATTTTGCAGCAGCTCCAAGTTGTTCACATGGTTTCACGGCGTTGACTATTAGTGAGCTGCTTTGTTTGAAAGTAACTACTGTGTGAACTGTGCTTCATACGTCGCTACACTATTGACAATAGACAATTGACCTTTTTTGATCGGTAAAACGTTAATGTGACCACACCTTAATAAATATGATATAATAAATATAAATAAATAAATATGAAATAATAAACAAAATATTGTTTAATTATTAATGCAAACATAAAATTATACATTTTAATTAGGCAAGTAGATACTGGCCTGACCAGGAAAGCAGAACAAAGCCTTACATGCTGAGCCCTGAACATGTAAGATTAAGTCCATAAAATGTGAGTAAAGTAGCTTTATTATTGAATCATTTCCATTTGGATTCGTGTACTTCGATGCAGTTTGAGAAATACAGAATATTTTTTGTGTGAATGTGAAGCATAGAGTGCTGTTGATGAAACTGACACAGTGTCATCCACACAAGTGGGCAAACATAATCACATGTGGGCCTATTTGTTAGTGTGTTGACACTGAAAACATATGAGAAAAATCTCAAATAGCTACTGATTTGATACTGAGCATCAGTTTCAATAAGAAACCTGACAAAGGCCTGCAGTGTGAACTCACACTAACAGGAAATCAGTACCATGTAAAAGACATAACCATGGCATTGCATGTCTTTAGAGCCGAGCGCAGAGACCATCATGTGTGGCCAGAGATGGAGAGGAACTTGAAAACACAAGGATACAATCAAAATGGGTTGGAGGGTATACAAAACAGGTTATGCTTTTGAGAGGGAGCCTTTCAAATTCCTATCCAGAGGATAAAAGCTTTTAGAAAACAGCACTTAATCAGCTCAATGCTTCAGCTGTCCTTGCCATGCTATGTCAGCAGAGTCACAGAGAGGAGCATCTTAGTGTCCAAGATGTATCTCCGAAAGACAAAACATGTGACACCAGATTTCTAAGCAAGGGCACCTGGAATGATGACACAAGTGTGGTTAATGAACTAGCTGTAAATCAGGGAAAGCGAGGGAGAGTGGAGAGCAGTGACAGACCTTTCCGGCACCTTCTCTCTCAAATAAACACAAACTTCAGCCTTGAAGCTGTTGTTGTGTTCCCACTTCTATCCTCGGGCGATTCTGACTGCATGAGGATGAGGTTGCACCAATGGAGAGATGGGGAAAAATAACATTAATAGGAGAAGCAAAGCCCTTGACTTATGCCGCTGCAAGGTCAAAAAATAAATAAATAAGTAAATATATAACCAAAGACACCTGAAAAACAGATGGAAGTTTGAAACATCTGGAGATTGCAAAGGATCAAAAATTTAATTTAATTTTTTGAAGAAAATGAGAGAGGTGCCATGATGCTAGAGAGGTTTCCAATGGTTACTATTAAGTTTTTGGGTGGTTACTAACTAGGTCAAGTCAAAAGAGACTAACCCAGGTCTGTACAACATTCTAGGCACTAGTTATAGTATATAGTTTTTTTGGCATTTTTGCTTTTATTTTAGATAGGATAGTTGGAGAGAGGACAGAGGACGAAGTGGAAGGCCAGGACTCAAATTCAGGTCAACCAAAGACCAACTGTGCTATATGACAGAACACCGCCCATGAGACTACCAGCTCATATTTATCAACTGAATCAAATCTTGCCCGTTTTCTTATCTTATCAATCTTGGCCGTTTCATCATCTACCGGAAGGAAAGGGACGTTCATATTTACAAGTTTGGTGATTTGACTAGAGTAAGGTATTTTTTAAATTACGCTTCTACAAACTGATGAATAAAGGGTGTGCTTTTTGCTTTTTTAGGTTTTTATTCAGTTTACATAGGTTCTATGAACTGAATTGCTGTATGTTCATAATTGCACAATTGTACATGACATCCATTGCGTCCACCATGTTTTCAGGGTTCAAAGAGTTTCCCATTAGTAATTACATTCATGTGCATTCAGTTGATACATACAATCTTTCCTACATTACTTGAACGCACCGTTAGTAAGTCTGATTGCTTAGAAAAGTAAAAGCACACCTCTCCTTACCAAGGCCCGTAGGTGTAATTCATGTCTGTAACACAAAACTGCAGGGTGAAATGTAATACTTAGGATTAAAGATTTGTTTAAATTCAAAATCAATTGTAGTGATATTTGGGGGCGTGTCAGTGAAAAAACATGGTAGCCACAATGGACACAAATGTAGCTTAATTTGCTAAATTTGCATAAAATGGCTTTTTTAATTTACAAAATATGATAGTATTGCACAATTACGACAGTAACAATTCAGCTTACAGTATCTTCAAAAACTGGATAAAACCCTAAAAGCCTTTCTGTAATTCTTTTGTAGAAAAGGCACATTACCATCATGCCATATCCAAAGTGATTTGATCGCACGTGACGTTGCAATCACGACTTCCCAACTTGTAAATACAAACTTGATACTTGCCTGTTAATAAACACCACTAACAAAATTCCTGTGGTGAGAATGACTCATTTTTAAACCCAGTCTGCTGTCAACTAAACGGTCCGTTTCTACATAGAGCACATCAGTTGAAAACCAGCTCATACTGCGGAGAATCTTTCTTGCACTTTCCTGCAGCAGAGCTTCAGAAACCACAGTGTCATCCGACATCTTTCCACTTGACACTACAACAGGGGGTTTAGTCACTTTAAATAATCCATGCCGTTCCATTAAAATTGCAGACCCTTCCCTTTCTCTTACAAAACGCATAGAAGAATCGCGTCCCTGGGCTTGAGCAGGCTACAGGAGAAAGCGCAAGGCAGAGAGAGAGAGAGGGAGAGGAAACGGAGGAAAGAGAGCCAAGGGATGGACAGAGGCCATGGAGAGAGGGGGTTTCTGAGTGACACTAATTCACTCGTGATGACTTGCCTCTCTCCCCCCGCAGTACTGATTGAAGCGCAGGCCATCAGTTTGGTGCAATAACAGTGCTATTGACTTGTTGCACCGGCTCCATTTGGTTATTGCCCTGGAGGCTCCGATCAATAGACTCAGCACTAAATCTGACTAATCAGGCCCTGCAGCCTCCAAGGGTCAGGCTGAGGAAAACTCCAGAAAATCTATGCCACGAAAGAGGAAAAAAGGTAGCGAGAGAGAGAGTGAGACAGAAGAAAACACAGGAGGGGTTGAGAGAGTCCTCTAAGCTCACTGACAGCTGTGTGAATTAATTGACGAGGATTGCTGTTCTGCTATAAAACGCTTGAGCGGGAGAGGGAGAGGTGGGCGGCGTGCGTGCTGAGCTGTCAAAGTGCGCCTAATCTTCCAGTTCCTGTGACCCGACAGGTTACAGGTCACGGGGCACCCGTGCTGCTGAGGGACTGCACCGCAAACTAGTGTCAAGGAGGAAATCCATATCTGTGAAAAAATATGGATGCGCTTGAATCTGATAGTACTTCTTATGTTAACGAGAAGCATATTCAATCACGTTCAGGCAAAGAAGGAAAGACAAATCCACTATCAATGTTTGTGGTCTTCGTTCTCTGTCTGCCTGACATTTTTTTTCTTCCTTTTTCTCGGCTTAAGCAAGTCCACTCTGTGATAGAATGGCTCTCTTTCCATAAACAAACATCCAGCATATCATACACAGACTGTGGGACACTATGGAAAATTTATAAGGGAATGAAAATCAATAATTTATAACAAAGTCAAGCACTAGGGTTTTTTCCCCCTCCACTGCTGGTTCTGAGTGTGTGTGAGTGTATCCACATAGTAAGGGGAAGAAAAGAAGAGGAGCAGAGGTCTGAATCTCAATGCTTTGGAGTTTGAGAGAGAGAGAGAGAGAGAGAGAGAGAGAGAGAGAGAGAGAGTGGAGGGCTGTGACAGACAGTCCCCCTTTTCAGTAAATGAGAGAGAGAGAGAGACTGAGTACGGCAGCTTTACACTTGAGCAGGCAAGTTTGTCAGATGTGATAGGTGGGTACAGTGGATCAGCTGTTCCTGCCATGCTTCCTCCTTTCCTGAAGACGGCGTTGCTTTAACATCTGGATTAGTTTAAATCTAGATAGATAGATCGACAGACAGACACAGACAGACAGACAGACAGACAGACAGACAGATAGATAGATGAAAAATTATAAATAACACCCTAACCTAGAACGATAGATGGAATGACAGAACAATAGAAAGAACGACAGGATGACAGAATGACAGATAGAACGACAGAATGATAAAACGATATGATATAATCATAGAATGACAGACAGACGAAGGAAACAGTTGAAGTGATCGCGCCGGCGCGCACGCACGCGCACACACACACACACAAAACACATCAGTTCCAGTATTGCTAACTTGACATCGCAGTTGGTACTTTATCAAAATAAAATAGTGAACCAAACATCAGCACGCCCGTCTCTGTGTCACCGATGGAACGCGACTGAAGCACAAAGCCTATAATTTACATAATAAATAATAGTTTAGCATTCAGATAGGTTACATTGCAAATATGGAAATATTATGGAATATTTGGATTTTTGCCGAATGAGAGAGGTAGGAAAGTATACTCCTTTGTCAGTCTGTGAGAGACGCATTCAGAATCAGCGCATGGTCACTGTCTAGTGGGCTTTGTTTTTTTAAAAGGGTCATCGGATGCAAAATTCACTTTTCAAGTTGTTTGAACATAAATGTATGTTGGAAGTGTGTGTACACATCCATCCTATAATTATAAAAATCCATCCAGTGTTTTTTTTTAAATCCCTATTTTAAAATCCCCTTTCTCAAACCAGGCTGTTCTGAGATTCCTGTCAGAATGACGTAGTTCTGTACAGGCCCCTCCCACGATAGTTGATTGACAGTAGTAGTGTTTCAGCACAGACTGGACTGGTATCTTACCTTAGACCCACCCTGAGTGAGCTGTCATCAGTCCGCCATTGTGTTGACTCTGATGCAGGGGAAGACAAGATGTCTCCGATTAAGCGATTGAGGTGCTTTATTGTTGGATGTAATAATGAATATAGCAATCGTCATTTACTCCCGACATCTGAGCTGCTGAAGACGCAGAGGATTAACATTACTTTCGCTTTGAAGTGAATGCGCCACTCCCGATCAGCCTAAATGCATCTATGTTCGCTCGAATCATTCGTGATCCAGCCTCATCTATAGAAG